TATAGCTCATTTATTACAACAAGACTCTTCATTTCATCCACCACACAATTCACTATAACTAATATTTTAATAGCTCCATTATTATTATTATATTATTACAGACTTAACCATCTTTCTCTCCCCCTACTGTCTCTAATTACCGTCAACAATTTACCATTTTACGTAACAGTTCATTTTCGCTCTTTAGTTATCATTATACAAAATATCAATTATGTAAGAACCTGTTCACAAAATCTTTCTACGATAATTAATCTTTGCTTTAGTTAACTGTCTTAATTACCTGATCAATTATCACCTTCTTGATACTTTGAGATTGATCACCTTTCATTGAACAACTCTTACCACTAGATTGGTATGTAATTTTACGTTTGAAAATGTTATATTAGTGTAGAGTCATTGATGAAGAATAGGGTGAGACAAAATCACTAAACTTAAGTCCAATATAATTAGGTGGAGAGAGAGACTGATTACTGAATCTTTGTTCATCGAATCAACACACAACACATTTCGTAGAAATGAAACAGCACCTATACCAGAGATATGGAAAACTTTACTACCAACAGTAACAAAGAATATGAGGTGATAGGACTATAAAAATCAAATGTTGAAAGTAGTGTACATTGATATGATTATGAGCAATAATTTATGCTCAAAACGTCATTAAGTAAATAATACTATATCACTGTGTGTTATAAATCAGATAAACAAATATAATATGGAATTATATTGTGCTTATTCAACTATTTTTGGATGGTAGTTGAAACATAAAAATTCTTTTGCCTAATTGTTCATATCAGCCTTAAATATCCTCTGACTACAATCTGAATATTTTTCCATCAACCAGACGCAGTTCATTCACTAGACTTTCTTGTTAGCGTTCTTTGGTAAAATGAATGATACAATACACATTACGTTAATTTTCGTTCTTTAACAACATCCAACTATGGAAATTGTGTACTATTAGTGCTTGGATTATATTTAGTTCAAAATCCTGTGTTGTGTTTCGTTTCTGTAATCATTGTGATGATTTTCTTGTGACAGTAATGATGGTAAGTATGAAATTTGGTTGGTAGAATACAATCGCAGAATGGAGGAGTCTGACAACTTCTTTCAGCTATTTCCAGAAGCTCGTGATTTGACCGTATTTATTAGTCCAAGACTCAGTTTTCTAAATAACTTTACTTCACCCGTCAGCATCCAGAAAATTCCTGGCTAACACTTTTAAAACTTGTTTACTGTAAATGGAATTGTAACTGATAGAAAACTGTTACGAGAAAAAATCAAACCCTATAAAAAGTTTTAGTGACATCTAAGCTTTGAACTCCATTGACAGAAAGTGGGAAATTATTAGGGATAATATGATAATTAACTTACTATTTGGCAAGAAAATGCCAAAAGTGTATCGTTTTATTTCCAGTTACCTACTTACCCTCACTCTGAATACCGACTGTCTCCTCTTGAAACTCTACTGAATGTCTTCTATGGAATGATTGGGCTGTGAAGTATTATTAACGTATGTAAGTAGAATTCGAGATTCATCGAAGACAACTTATAGTGTGTGCATAGGGGTATCTGGCTTCAACTTTAAAAGAAAAACTACTTTGTGGTGCATTGTTTATAATCTTTTAGACTCACATTATACTTTGTTCGGTTTGACGACAATAAGAATTTCACCCTAACTGTCTTAGTAGTTACTTATACATGCTCAGCATTGATCTTAACTAGTTCGCCTTGATCTTGAAACTATTGGATTGGTAATCAAATTTGTTTGACCGGGAATTAATTATGCTTATGCGGCCAAGCAAGCGCAATTTTTTCTCGATTGCTAAGCCACCTTGAGATCAAACGCACGATCTCTCAATTTACTTGGAGTGTAAGAAGTCTTCAACGTCTGATCCACATGTAGGAGATGAACTATTACACTTGTCTTGACAGTTCTTTTCCCCAACATCTTGTGGAACGTTCATGCAGACATCAAACAAAGAAATTTTTTGTTAAGATGTAGACCGTTATTATACTCCGTTTCAGTGTATTAGGTGGATGTAGATGTTTACCTATTAAAAATAGAAAATTCGTTCGTCGACATTCATTCGATTTGCAATTAATCGTCTTAACTTGTTGTCTTTTGAAAGCCTTACATTTTTATCCAGATTAGAATAATAACAATTCAACTGTCAAATTGTTGTTACTGACGACAGCAGAGTAAGAAGTTGCTTGGATATGCAGAGGCCTGTGAGATTCGAGCTGTCAAACCAAACCTTTACATTCAGAAGGAAATGGTAGTCAGCTTGAGTCTGCCATGGAAAGAACTACAACATTGTCTAATCATATTTAATCTCTCCATTTGCTCTTCGCTCTTAATTATCACCCACTGGATATCTTATTTTCCTTCCCTGATTTGCTTCGCCTAATTAACCTTTTTTCCTATTACCAATGTAATCATTATTATTCATTTCAATATACACCTGGTTCTCTTACTATGTCTGTATTATTTCATTATTATTTGTCGCTTAGGTTTCTAAGGAACATACGGCTTCAGCAGTACGTCTCCAATGCACTCGGTTCCTGAAATCTATTAAACCTGGCTCCACAACTGTCCAGAAGCTGTCATTTCTCCCTCACACGGTCTCCTCCGTGTCACCCTCGGACACCCAACTCATCATTTCTCACTCGGTTTTCACTCGACTGCCTGGCGCGTGATGTCCCCGAATGGTCTTCCCAGTGCATGCCCAATCCATCTCCACTACTTTCTGTATATTTGTTGAGCTATAGGTTGTTGGTTGGTACGTTGCCAGCCAGGCAGAGTTCCTTATTGCTTATTCTTTCCGGACATCTCATCTTCAGTGTCGATAGTAGGCTGGAGCTGTTTATGTATGTCTGTAGTCCGTTGAAAATGCTTTTCGTAACGTGCCAAGTCTCCCAACCATCACACAGAAGCACTGACTTGATTTAATCAGTGTTGAAACTCCGGATCTTGTCTTTTATGCTGAGTGCAGTGCAGTAGATCTTCACACTGATTTCAGGTATTAACCTGAATGAATGCCTGTCATGGTTTTCCAATCCTGGCTTTGACGTCTTTGTCTGTGCCGCCGCCTGTAGTTGAAACGATGCTGCCTTGTATAGGTAGGTGAAAGAGACTACTTCCTTTACGTTTCTTCCGTTGATGGTGATCAGTGCTTGTTGTTGTTGGTTGGGTATCCTCATCACCTCCGTCTTCTCTACGTCCACCTGAAAGAAGTCCCATCCTTGCTGCCCTGTCTCTTCTGTCAACTTGTTAGTTTTCGCCTGTAGATCTTCGAGTTTGTGCAACAAGACATTAGACATAAATCATCATCGTTGGCGAAATCCAAATCTTCTAGGGTCTTTTCATTGGTCCAGCCAGCGTATGCCCCTCCTCTCGCTCCTCACAGTTTGTTGCATGATCCAGTCCACTACAATCAGGAAGATGAGTGTTGATAGTAGGCAGGAACCTCGTCTTACTCCTGTCTTCACTTCAAAGGTGTCACTGAGCTTTCCATTGTGAATCACTTGGCATGTAGCATCATATAGCATATAGCTGTTGAATGAGGTTGATAAAGGTTTGTGGTACTCCTTAGTGTTGAAGCAGCTGCCTGTCAATTCATTTCTCGTTCGACGCTGTCGAAGGCCTTTTCAAAGTGGATGAAGTTGAGGTAGAGAGTTGACTGCAATTCTATACTGTGTACTATGATGATGCGTAGCGTAGTGTTGCGATTTGATCCGCACATGATTCGTTTTTGCTGAAGCCAGCCAGCCAGCCCGTTCCGGTCTTAATTTTGAATCCAGCGCATTTTTAAATCTCTCCGGGATGATGCTGCTCAATATTCTGCTTGGGTTGGATAGGAGCCCGATTTCGTGCCAGTTCTTGCCAAGACTTAGGTCGCTCTTCTTTGGGAGTTTGACAAGGCAGACTTCCTTCCAATCTGCAGGTCCCTTTCCGTCCCTGCAACTAACTAGGTTTCCTTCACTATCTTTCATTGTTTACGTCTGTGTTGATCTCTTCCCAGATTGTAACCTGGTTATCTGATATTGTGTTGTCAGGTCTCTGTCTCTCCTACCTGCAGCCTGTTCTGCCTCACTTGCCAACGTGTCGTAGAAGTGTCTTTTGTCTTTGCGCGCACTCCTCTCCACCTCTTTGTCCAGTGTAGTGTCTTATAGGTTGTATTCAATTCCTCTTTTCGTTGTTCATCCCTACACCAGACTGGTTCATCCTCTGCTTCACCATCACCATCTTCCTCTCCCTTCTCTGTCAGCTTCCATGTGTCCGTGGAGATCCTTTCTTTGTCTTGCTTCTTCTTCCTTCCTAACACGGTTATGCAGGTTTCCTTCCACGTCTCTTTCAAAGAGTTCAAGTGTTCTTCCACGCAGGTTCCCTCGGGGATGCTGCTTAATGTCTCTCATTTTGTCTAGGTGGCTGACGCGAAGATGCCCTTCGTAGCTTAGTCCTTCAGTTTCTGTTCTGGGTGTTGAACTTAAACTGTGGTCTGTCACCTGCTTCTTCGAAGGCTTTCAACTTGATTTTGAAGGTTCCTTGCACTAGATAGTGAGTGGTCTGAACCTACGTTTGCACCTCTTCGTGATCTTGTGTCATGTAGGCTGCGTCATTATGTCTGCATAATTACCATTAACTGTATTTTTTCAATGACGTAGTCGACGCTCAATCGATCCAGTTCTCACCCCTGTGTCAACATTATTATTGTTATTATAATTATTTTTTACCTGGAATCCACTATTATCCAAATTCAATGAACCTATCCCCAACCCATTTAATCTTGAATATCCATTTCTACCCTCTGAATTACCGTTCGATCCGTAAAAGCCGTTCACTTCTATGTTGTTACACAGTTAATAGTACTTATGCAGACATAATAAGAAAACCAGGTGTATATTGAGATGAATAATGATAACATTGGTAAAAGGAATACGGTTAATTAGACGAAACAAATATATATATATATATATATATATATATATATATATATATGTTGTTACAGATAAAGGGGGAAGCAGAAAAGTTAGATCCACCAGCCATAGGAAAGTGCGTTGCTCCAGAAATGGTAATACACATAGGTGTCTTTAAATCCTACATATTGTTATTCTGAACATCTTTCAACTACGGTACATAATATACCACAAAAACTTCACATACTGATCAATGATCAGTATTCCTTCATTGATTGTAAGTGGCTTTGGTTTAACATCTAAAAATCGAGTTATTTATGGAAACCGGAAAACACTCAGATACTTCACGCTTTCTGATTTGAAAAGAAATAAATATTAACAAACAGAAGAAATACATGTAGCTAAACTGTGCAAAATATTAGTTCTCGTTCTGAAAATTGAAATGCATTCAGCAACCTTGCGCACATTGGTGCAGTAGGCAATTAGTCACACGTATTATGTGAGGGCTAATGATACTACTACCCAGCTGCTCATACCTCGGTAGATGGAGCGGAGCTCAAACCCATAATTAAAAGTTATCCCACTTAAGTAAGATTAAAACCTGGGCACTGTGGTAGAGTATAATTCCATATTAGATCGTTTATTTGATATTGGATACAATGAGGAAGCTTTATTTACAGGATGACGTTTCAAGCAGAATTTCTGGCTCATATTCATCTCTTTAAACCACAGCTTCACTCTCAGTCTACTAATAACAGATAGTTCATAGAAAATGATTATTTGAAATTCTCAAAATAGACCAATGCACTTTATGTTGTAGTGGAATGTAGCTAACACGTTTATTTCTTCAAAAATGAAGTATGCCTCATAATTCGAGTGGATTTCCTACATATGTATCTTTGTATTTCACATAGGTACTGAACGGACAGGACTGCAAATAAGGTACGCAAAAGTACAATTCTGAGACGAACACCTACAATAAAGAATGTATGAACAGATTGTTCAACAAGAATGGTTGGTAACTGTATACTGACTGGTTACTGAAGAGTAATCAATTTCACGTTATCCGGCGCTGACGGGATTCTACCGCCAGTTTTGCAAAGCGACCAACCAGCAAAATGGAAGACTAAGCGTTGCAGTACACTTTGATTGATACGAGATGATTAAAAGTAACTAAGAGAAAGCCCTAAACCTAGATTTTGAATCTTCTGGAGTACTCATCATCAAGGAGTGTCTGCAACCTCGAGGGTACTCCTGTCTTCTGAAGGTTCAAACCTGCATTTCTAGATTTGTATTCTCACAGCTTAAAACTAGACATAAAATTAGTTATTCAAAAGTGACCAATCATTGTGGCTAATCAAATCCTATTTGAAGTCAAACGTGGCCCGAATAACTCAATGGTAACGTTTCCAAATCTAGGACCAGATGATGAGGGTTTGAATCTCTCAGAGGAAATTAGTTCTCTTAAGGTCGCAAATACCGTTCCCTGATGAGTGTCGAGAATCAAGAAACCTAGATCTATAATTATCTACTGGTTGCCTCCAATCATTTAAATGTAACTATTATGTGAACAATCGCTAATATAAAACCGTCTCAATTAGTTAGAGTATAGAGAAATATCCTACACTTTGTGCATATACATTTGAAATAAATTAATCTATTTCATTGTAATCACTAAACTCTGGAAGAGAGACCATTTTCTAATGTAGTACACAGTATTTCCACGGCAACTGCATGAGAATTAGGGTACTTACGTGCAAAGTAATCCAAGGAAAGAAGGTAGATTAGGGGGAAGTATAGACGGCCAACGTGGGACATAATCAGAAACTCCTATAGAGGCAACAAGATCTTCTAAAGGACCCAAAAATAGGATAGCAGGTGCTTTATAGCGGTTGTGCACTAAACGTACTAAGCGTGTAGAATTATCTGGAGGACTTGGCACCACACAATACATAGATCGAGTAGATATCATACCAACTGAATCACCCTGTATTCCGTTATTGTTACCAAAACTACGTACAGGACCAAGGCTACCACAATCAGAAGTAACATTGCAGCCAGTGCGTTCAGTTACAGCACGGGCAGGTAGGCAAGTATATCTGAGGGACTAAAATTAACAAATAAATATAACTTGTATTATTTTTCGCTTTCATAAAACTTAAAATATAACGTGTCAACTAAAAACGTTCAGTAACCTCAATTCTAACAAGCATAACAGTCATTTCCGCCAAAGAAACTACAAGAAGAACAGGATTTCGGGAGGCTGGCGCACATTATGTTATTGACTAAAAGCAGGAAATTTATCGCCTTAAACATTACGGTTATCGGAAATTTTAAATAGGTGTAGAATAATACAGGAAGAGACATTTGGGTGAGTGCTCTACACAGCCATCTAACGACCACTGAATCATAGATGTACACGTCTAATTTATCTGAAACAATAGAGCTGTCTCAAAAACACCACGCCCTCTAAAAAAACATGTATGCTGCTGTTAGGATGATTTCCCGACAATCACCATACATACAGAGACTTCAAGCCAAACCATCACAAGCATTCAAAAAAAGGTTATCAACATGTGAAGAAAAATAAACAACTATTCTATGTAAACTCGGAAATACCACACCTCTCAACATCACGTCAAGATACAAAACAAAGAAATTAGAAGAAAATGTAATGAAGTCGTATGAAGTTATAAGAAGACAGGGTTAAACCAATAATGAAATGCAATATGACGACTAGGCTGATGATGAAGTGAAGATGCATCCGTAGTACTGAGATCAATTCATGACTACGCCTTTACCGACTTCGATTATCATGTGGATTCTAACCAAGAAGTCCACATTCCTTGGCATACATCAACTGTTACATACTTCCTGCACTGATATCACATACCGGTATGAACACCCTTAACCTCCTTCCAACTTAAATGTGCCTCGGTCAACATTGTGAATCGAGGAAGACAGTGAGTAAGCATGAGAGAGAGAGAGCAGCATTCATTACTCACTGTCATAATATTAAGTGCAATGATCGGTCAAGCAGACTACCAACTTGAATCCACTTGAGCAGCACACTATACTTTTGGGCTTAGCTCTACACCCTGTAGGTACAACATTATGGTTTCCAGAAGATAACCAAATTTTCACGCTGATTTCGCCTTCCATTACGGTTATAGGGATTCTGGTTATATGACATTTAAGATAGTAAGGTAGACGACTTACATTTATTAGTAAGAAGTCATTAGCTGTCTTATGACCTTCAATTCACTCTTCATTAATTGTACATTTTACTGATATGCTTTCTATTCATATCATTCTGGGTTTCATTCAGAGTGCTAGCAACAGTTTATATTTGAATAAATGATACGAATTGTGATATTATACGATACAATACAACATACCATCTCTTCGTCAATCACCTTGATAACTACTCAGTTTGGGTTTTTCTGAGTTTTGAGTCGAGCTCAACCTGTCAGTAGATCATTTCGTTCTCGTCAGTTCTAAGCATTCTCTCACATCACTCTATACCTTATTCACATCAACCCTTCCAAACGGCTACCGTTATATCATCTCCTTTTACAGTCAGTTATGGATGCTTCATAGGGTGGGACCAGATGAAGTCTGAGAGTAGTAAATTCCATGCCGCATAAACTCCCAGTGCCAATGGTAACGATTCTTCTCCATTATCTATGTCACCTATCAGGTAGTTGGCGCCTTTGCAGTTAGTTACCATGATGTTGTACCTGCAGGGTGTAGAGCTAAGCCCGAAAGTATGAAGTGTGCTGCTCAAGTGGATCCAAGTTGGTAGTCTGCTTGACCGATCATTGCACTTAATATTATGACGGTGAGAAATGAATGCCGCTCTCTCTCTCTCTTTCTCTCTGGATCTGTACACACTAATCTGCTATCACTGGCTGCGATTCAGATGAAGTGAAAGCAAAGTTTTATCCGTAGTTCTCCAGTCAAATACGAAACGTCAAACGTTGAGATGTGACTATTTATAGTGGATGAGTCCAAGGAAGATGTAGGAAGGTGAAACCAGAGAGTGATCAACTATGATTGTTTATTGACCGGTGAAATCGTTGCATGGATACAATGGGGTGAGTTACCTTTGTCAATTTATGCCATCCCTGGTGCCGTTGACACACTAGAGGAAGTGGGAGTACTGAACAACCATCTTTTTTTCATGATCTCAATTTAGTGGACAACTCTTTATAAATATGTATGTCCGAGAAGAGGACGTTAATTAGGAGTATGTATTTGCTCGTTACTTGCAGTCATACACTGCCACATCATTTCATGCTCGACAGAGTGAATTGCTGCCTTCACGTCAAGAAGTATGGTTATTGTCCAACCCTGTTTTATATGTCTTTGTTCCCAATCGTCGAAGAATGAAGATGTGGTCGATGCACCCTAGTTCAGGTCTGAAACTAATCTGGTTCTCTAGAGTTTGTTGTTCTGGAGCTCCAATTAGGCATCGGATAACTAAGGACCCCAGGGTCTTGGATTGGACAAATCACAAGAAGACTCTCCTCTTCTCCTTTTTTTGAACTCGAATGATCACTGAAGTACACGACTCTGACAGAGACCCCTCTAATTCCCATACGCTGCTTAGTACCTTCGTTTCTGTACTCAGTAATTTACTGGCTTAATCCTCAGAAATATGGTGACAAAATAAATAATGGTGCTGATTTGAAATAGCTTTCTCAACTTTGAGGAGAGTTGTAGATTGGACATCTACAACTTATTCACGTTCGACATGGAAGCTGGGTAACTGAAGCATTGCTGAGTGGTGTTTGAACTGGGCTTTTAAGTGTTCCGCCCAGCATTCTAGTCGTGTCATGAAAGGTTGTCGGCGTCTCATTTCTTTCCGTGATGTTCTTACTAACCATCCTCTTGCCGGTATTCTTAATATGCCTAAATGATTGACATGTATTACCTAATTCAGATGCCTTCTCCCGGTTTCGCCACCCACCACTGCTCGCCGTCATTTTGAAGACTCTTAGTAAGTTTACGTTTAGGATGCTTCTGCTCTTCATTGCGGTCAAACCCTACTGGAATCAACCAGTTCGGAGTTAGGTTGCGGAGATATATTGACTTTCGCTAATATTTGGATGTAGGTTAACAAGTGTCTTCATTGGTGTTTTTGACAGCAGGCCAAGAATGGAAATCATCGTTCACGGTCATTCGTCGTTGGGGTAGAAATATTTTCATTTCAGATCTCGATTTATGTCCATCTGATTGGTGATCAAATGGCTTCATTTTCTGAGTAGCAGGTGTTTATAAATACTACGTGTTTTGTCAAATAAAATCGTTTTCCTTAAGTCAGTAACAGGCCCGTCTTTTGTCGTCTGATTTCTGCGGCTCGTATCCAATACAAGTATCTCGTTGGGTCATTACTCCTTTCACTCATTTTTAGAATCCACGTTCTACCCCGACACAGTTACATCATATAATTTCACGTCCTCATTTGTCAATCGAGCATAGACTGGTTTTACTATAACCCGTTTCCTGTGACCAGTAAGGCCCATACTAGCACGTAATAGGATTTCAAACAGGCAGTTCAGAAAGAACGGAAATCTACTGATCCTTTCCATCGATGGCTATGATGTGAAAAATCTGCGTCCATCATTCGTTTGATGTCGGTGGACGCGCTGTGAATTAGTGTCTCTCCTTAGGCTTGAAATTGGTGCTGGCCAGAAGCAAGTGATTGTAAGAACGAAATCACCGTTTTCAGGTTATTGACATGAGGTTTCGCAGGTACCTCTGAGATGCCTGTCTGATTGGCTCAGCTCCCTTGCTATAGCATTGAAGTTACTTGCCCTGATAGCTAGGTTTTAACGTTTTGCTTTCTGTGATGAAATTGTCAGCTGATGATAAAATTCATCCTTTGCATCATCCAAACTTCAGTCGGTGGGTGCGCAGGCGGAAGTTACGAATAGGCATCAGTTGGTCTCACCATCTTTCCTATTTCTTACAGATCCATTCAGTCGGACATTCATTACACAGAAATACAGTCTGGAAGTGCACTTTCCGCTCCATAACTTGGTCCTATGTTTACACCAACGACTCCACTGGAGCTAACTATTTGGTCTCCGGATTCACCGCTGTGGCTATATAAGGTGAAATCAAAGCCACATTACAGCGCTGCATACGTGTCTCAGAAAGAGCATATATCTATGGCTAGAGATTCCAGAGTTCTGGCAAACGATGCCTGTTGTGTGATTTGGTGTGGATTTCGAAAGTTGAAAGCTCCAATGTGGAGCAGACATCGAGGCTTTAGGTCACTGCAAACGGTGTTTTGAATTGTTGGTAATGATCGCAAGGTGGGAGGCTAGTGAAGTTTTAGGAAGTGGAGGCAAAGAAGATAAAAGTAAGGAATGTTTTATTAGGTCTTCCATATAACTAGAAAGGTGCGGGACGTCATTGCCTCCCGATAACAGTTACATCGGACTTGAAAATCCTGTAGTTGTCGACGGAATACTGCAAGCCAGAGAAGAGTGTAGCATTTTTGTGGTCACCCTTTCTACCCTTTTTCCATGGCTAAGGAAGCTTCAGAATGGTACTGCTAGTCATCAGAGTGAAATACCTTAACTGTTGTCACACGCCATCCAGCTGGCAGTAAGTTTTCGCACTCGAATCCCTATCACACTGTCGCGATACTCACTGTGATGGTGATTGGTGTTTGTCAAATCACTGTTCGACTGACTTTCTGGTGTGATGGTCATTTAACATGTTCACAACCTACTACATACATTTCAAGAAAAAAATTCGCCAAAAGACCGTATTTGACCTACACCAGCTTTTTTCTTTTTCGCTGCATCCCATAATCAGGTTAACAAAACCACACATGAAAACCATGTCGTTAGCACCAACTTCAAATTAACTGCTCATGTTTTGTTGGTCAGGAAGTTTCGACCATCTTGATACCTCTGCCAGCAGTCGAGACATTTCTAAGCACGATCCATCTTCTACTTTATTGCCTTCTGAATCCCACTGTTTTCGCTATTATTAGTGTACATCGTTTTCAAGTCCTTCCATCTCTGCAACCGCTAATAATGATTCGAGTTCACGGAAGGAATAGCCAGACTGACGTAAGGAAACCGCGCTCCAAACTTCATTTTGAAACGTTCAATGTCCTTACTCGTCGTCAAACCGGACAAAAGCTTCGACCACAGGTACGGGACTCAAGTATTGCTATTCACTCAATCTTACCCGGCAGATGAGGGTAATTCATAGAAATCACTCTTCTAATACCTGTATCTTCCTAATTAGTTCTTGTGGTCTTGTATTTACAAGTACAACATTCAGTCTTAAGGCAAAAAGTGCATTGCTCAACTAAATTCCGGTTGAAAGTCGTTGGTGTGCTGTGCGACTGAATAGTGTAGTAAGTACGGCGGTTAAGATAAATGTTAAGTGTGGATACATCTGCACCACTGACATCGATTCTGAAAAGTATTATCTATAGTCCCCAACCGCTGGTTTCCGTTGTCACGTTGGCCACAACTGGTTAGTCTGCATCTCCTAGTATGGCTCAAAACAACAGTCAAAGACTTCATGCAGTGATGCCATATTTTAGTCTGACCTCCCTGAGCCTTTCTCTAGCCCGAACTAACTTCAGCTAACATTGCGCAAAAGACGTAGACGTTGAATGGGCATGCGTAACACATATCCCAGCCATCTCAATTGAAGTTTCACGACCTTATCAACTGACTCTCCTCTCCTGCTTAAAACTCTACATCTGACTTCCACGTTACAGACGTGGTGACACCACGAAACACAGCCTATGTTATGAAGGTAACGGTGGTAAAACACTTGAAGCTTTCTCATGTTCTCTACTTTAAGTGACCATGTTACACAGCCGTACAGTAGAACAAAGCGAACTACAGCTCTCTACCCTCGACCCTTAATCAGTAATCGGATATCGTGGCGGTGCCATAAATGGGTTAAGTTGGCGAAAGCTAATTGAGCTTTTTGTTTCCATACATAGATTCTGTCGGTCACTGACCCACCGGGGCTGATCCGATCTCCCGGGTAAGTGAAATATTCAACGGAGTGGACTACTTCACTCTCTATTGTCAGCCGGAACATCATTGATGACCAGTCCTAGAGTAACAATTTGGGTTTTGGTGGCCAGGAACGCATCCCAAACATTCTCAGATTGTCACCTAAGGTGTCCAGAGGACTCTGCATCTTGTCTTTACCTAAAAGGATTGTGTCATCTGCGTATTCTGTCTCCTGTGATTACGTCAACCCCTGTGCAGTCAGATGAGAGGGAGACCTCCATAAGTAGGTCTAAGACAAAAGTGAATAGAAATGGAGAGAGTGGGCAACCTTGATGGACACTACACTATGTACACTGCTCATCTGATAACTCACAATAGGCTGTAATACGCCCATGAGTGTTAGGGTAAAAAGCCTTCAACAGAGTTGTGTACTTGCTCGGTATTCATTTCAGTGAGAGACATTGCTATAAGACCTCTCGGTCGACGAAGTCAGGCGCATGCCTAGTTACTGTTTACTCCGACTCACAGTCATAGTCGAGATACCCTCCAGTTGAAAGAGGTTAAGTGTCACAATACAAATATTTGGTACCAGTGCCTGAAGTCTCTGACTGTTGAGGTGTATATCAAGAAATGTAGACTTCTTGGTTAGAATCCACATGATAATCGAAGTCGGTAAAGGCGTAGTCATGAATTGATCTCAGTACTACGGATGCATCTTCACTTCATCATCAGCCTAGTCGTCATATTGCATTTCATTATTGGTTTAACCCTGTCTTCTTATAACTTCATACGACTTCATTACATTTTCTTCTAATTTCTTTGTTTTGTATCTTGACGTGATTTGGAGAGGTGTGGTGAATCGAACCGTTACACATTATTTCAGGTTCTACTTTTATTCTAGCAGATCGAAGTAAATTTATATGTCATTTATGAGTGCAAGATTTAGTAGTTAATATGAACCATTGGTGTGACATCAAGGGATTTTTATTGCTTCGTTAGTGGGACTTTGTGTTTATGTTACTTCGGTAATGGGTGATGGTTTACTTTCATAGAAACACAAATGCCACACAATTGTAGCAAATACGACTTCCCTGACAGAGTTCAATAAATGACATGAATGAGAAGAACGGAGGGATCTACACATACTGGTCATTGTTTTGTGTAATTTCTGAATGTTTATATTTTTGTGAACAATTTTATCACCTTTTTGACCTGTTACCCTGTTTGAGGAAATTATACTGTCATCCATCCACTCTTCTACTACAAAATTGATGAATAAATATATAAGCCAGTTAAAGAAATTTAATTAATTAACAATAAAATAACTCTCTTCTGTACTAATCTACATTGAATAGTCAAAATTCCAGGAATCATGTGGTCAGATAGTGTTAGTTCGGTGCATAGAACCGAAAACCCATGATTTCAGCAGTTCTGTAAGTATGTAGTGAAAACGTCATACGCAACCATGAAAGAAATTTTTGTCTTTAATTTGTGCTACCAGTGGGATCAGTGAATGAATAAATAATTTAGCCATGTCCATGATATCTTCTAGTTACCTTCCAATTTCTTCAGTATACAGCTTACTTCCTACTGTCAACTATTAGTCTGCGGGTGGTACGGTTTCGCTTTGATCCCCATTGATAAACAGCTGTTCTGAAAAAGAATTAAATTCTGCTCTCTCAAAACAGGATGCTTGATCTATAGGTATCAAGTTCGGCAACATATGGCCCGAGATAATATATATTTGGTTACTACCTCAAATAAAGTAATCTCATGGGAATCGAAAGCGCAGACGGTTGAATATACCGATTGCTGTGGGCAGGCTGACACACGCTTGGAAACACCGTTTCTTATGATTGACTAGTGCGTAGTTTGTCGCAGAAGTCGGTTGGCCTTGCAACTGATGACAATCGACAACCACGCTGAGGTTTCAGCAGTACAGAATCAGCTTTACACATTCTATAGGCATAAGTGTTTGATTACAATTCAGCTAACTTACGTTTGCCGACGTAAGCAGATGAAGCTTCCGAAGTTGCTTAGTATTGTGATGCACTCTGTGTTAGACACACTCTGTTTTATTTCCTGTTACCATTTGCTTTGCCAAAAAACAATAACTGTGCAGTTTCTTCAGGATGCTTTTCATAATTCTACTAATTCCGTTTTTAAAGACAACTAGTAACCCTAGGAATTCGGTTGGTGACGCTTAGCATATATTGTATTCAGTTGTAATTCCCTAATATATTTATATTTGATAGTTTTTTTTGCGAAAAGTAGCAGGTGGTTGAAGCGAAATGGCCACAAAACTGTTCACAGACTAAAGCTAACGCAACCATGGATGAGGAATTGCTTCTGAGGTGCGATCCTCCAGCCTGTATGGTACCGTTAATCAGATAACAACACAATCATGACGAATACTCATTCATTATATCATAAAAATAAGTACATGAATATATATATATATATATATATATATATATATATATATATAATCAATTAAGCAAAACAGAATGTTATGAGTAATCAAAACAAATCTCACCGCAGTACTTAACTTGGTGGGTGTGAAATAGGTAAAACATAAATGAGTTGACGCAGACTGAACTGTGCAACAATCATCGCTTGATGTATTATGAGCATTAGCTGATTGAGAACTATCACTTTCATCCAACTTGCTGACGGCAGCAGCTGCGGATAAGCTACGACGGGGAACATGAACTTTATTATCCATCATGCTTAAATAAGCACCCGATACACAGTACCCAGAGGGATGAGTATACGCCTCCTCCAAACATTTAAACCAGTCGGACTGTTTGTTCACTGGACAAGAATTAACTCGAGTGATAGCGTCACCAATAGCGAGTCCACGATGTCCTGTGACAACAGAATCCTGGGGAAAAAAAGCAATACACAACTAAATGAACTCTGACTTTAGAGACAGCTCTTATCTTATGATAGTAGGCATACAGAAATAAATAACTACTTAAGGTGTAGTTTCAAGTACCGGATATTCCACATTCACGAATGACAGAAACATTGGAAGATAAAGTGTTAATAAGTTGTTAGAATGAAAATATTTAAATGTTAGGTTAGCGGAAGGCTGCTGAATAAGTCAAACAAATTAAAACATACAAAGATGATTCTAGTTCAATAGGTGTTTGAATAAGGTTACTCAGCAACCACTTCCCGACTTGCACGACAAACAATATTCTTTGTCTGAAAGCCAATGATACCATTCAGTCGTCTGATCCTTGTTAAATATAGTAGAATCCAAACTCTCAACTCGTTGGTTGAAGGCTCGGCACCTAAATTAACCGACAACAGCTGTTATAGACGAGGACCACTTGGTATGTGGTTATATTTCAGTATAGATTAAATTTATAATGATCTTACACCGATGGTGTCGAAAGATAAAGGGTTTTTTGATCCAGCTCTGATCAAGACGAACAAGTGCATAGCATCCCTTTCTCCTATAGCAGTAGTTACTTAAATAATTTGTGGTTTCCGAACAGTTTACTCCCTAATCAGACTAATGATCATTTTTATTCGTAAATATGGTAATTAATGGGCTCATCATAACGATTATAACGGTAACAACTACAGATTTACATTTAGTTGCGTTAACCCTCTAATCGCATACTAAGCTTCCTTTGTCTCATTGACAAACTGTTTACTATTAGACATAATACCTAACGCATATCATTTACGACAGTATCTTTTGTGCGTTCGCGAAAGTATCATTCAGTAACTAATTTTTCTCAATGACAATAAGTTATGGGTTTGGAAATGGCAGTTAGCTGGAATGCATGAGTTGACAATTCTAGTCTAGAGATCAGTTATCGCTCAACCTCATGTCATCGTATTACGCGGAGTTGATTCGTATTCCAAATGCGCTCGATCAATAAAAGCCGTAATACCATTATGAAAATAAACCGTTTAACAGTTAGTTGGTCTTAGATATGTTTACCTATAGTTAGGCCAGTGTTTGAAATAACGATCAGACAGCGGTTTATCTGAAAATCTGAGCTTTCTCCTTCGTGTGCTTTTTTATATTTTATTTGATTATGCTTCAGTTAGATTCCGCCCTACTAAATAGTGTCTAAAAAGCCTTTCTTGTAAATTGAATGATACAACTGCACTTTAATGTTTAGTTTCTCCGTAGACTCTAGTTGACATTATCAAACACTTGACTAGGATGGTCACAAGTTTCGGCTTTATTAGTAAAGTAATGCTAGCGAAGACAATGTGCATCATATCATGGAAATTTTTGATTTCATTTCCTGTGATAACTATGATGTCGTCCATATGACAAGATGATAACTTTGGCTTGCTCAAAGATGAGACAATGCAATATAGTCATTGAATGATTTCTCAGAACATCTGTTACTTATCAATTGCTAGCAATTCATTAATTGATTTAAGCTCATTTATGAAATATACTTTTAAGCTAATTGTAGTCTACAAAACTACTAACTTGAAAGTTTCGGCATAATACAGTTGAATACAGTAAACCATATCTATTAATTATAATGTACAGTACACACTTAAATGAACGGAGATTTTGAAAGTCTGCCACTGCAAGCAAGAAAACTATCATTAAGATAGACATTCTACAGTTACTTGTCATTTCAATAAAAAGTGCTAAGAAACTTTCAGTAACTGCTACTTACTTACTATTATGTTTACTTTGTGTATGTATCTTCAATAACTGAAAGTTCTGTTTCAAATACTACCTTTTAGGCGTTTAGAGATAGTGATGCAAAACACTTATTTCTCTCATTTAGTCTGATAAAACCCTCTGGCATGATAAAAGATAAGAGAAACGACACTTAAGGGGCAGTATTATTTTCCAAAAAGTTCCTAGAGAAGAGTTTAACTCTAAATTCTTATACCACTGGAGCGACTAGACCTATTAGGGAGACTGGAGGGTAAAGATTAACTGCGGAGACGATAGGATCGATGGGTGGAACACTTCGAGGAACAGTTTAACTGGACTCCAGCCACCATTGCGTTGCTCGCTATCCAGTCGGACCCTGAATGGGACATAGAGACACGCCCCCCAACACTAGCAGAAGTCGAGAAAGAGGTAGGTGACCTGAAAAAGGGCAGCAGGACCAGATGAACTAACTCCTGAGGTATACAAGGATGGTGGTAGGGTGCTCTTAGTCAGGTTAACCGAAGTATTCACCAGTATATGGGAATCAAATATGATCCCCTCTGACTAATCTAAATCACTGATTATTCCACTCCTCAAGAAAAGTGAGAAGTCCTCTGGTAATAACCACAGAGGAATCGGCCTCACGAACAAAGTGTCTAAGATTCTACGTTCCATAATTCTCCGACGTCCAACTGGAGCTCGGGAACATCTAGCCCGAGAAAACCACGCAGGCTCTAGACCCAGCCGACGGGAGCATCGACCAAATATTCACACTACGCCAGGTCCTGAAACACAGACATGTTTACCGACACTCCATACTAGCTGTATTTCTCGACCTGAAGGATGCATTCGACCCCGTTGACCGACAAGTCTTATGACAATGTCTCTCACTGAAAGACGTGCCGAGTAAGTACATCACCTCATTGAAGGCTCTCCTACTCGAACACTTGTGGGCATGTTAGAGCCTATGGTGAGATGTCCAGAGAGCTATCCTCATCGAGTGGTGTCCGTCAAGGGTGCCCACTGTTTCCATTCTTATTCAATTTTACCATAGATATTCTCATGGAGGTCTCTCTCTCGTCACCTGATTACACAGACGTTGACCTAATCGCGGGAGAATTCTTGTTAAACCTAGAATATGCAGATGACATAGTCCTGTTAGGTGAAGACGCTGACGAAATGCAGTCTTCTGAATACTGAGAATGTTCGGGATGCATTTCTCATTATCCAAATGCAAATTGTTGCTCCAGGATTGGTCTTCAACAGTGCCACGGCTAACAATAGAGAGTGTAGTGGTTGAGTGTGTCGACCACTTCCCTTACCTGGGAAGTAGAATGGTGGCTCAGTGGCCGATGAAATTTCTGTACGGATAAAAAAGGCTCGACTGGCTTTCACCAACTCACTCTACCTGTGGTGCCGCCGTGATATCCAATTGTCTACTAAGGGTCACGTGTACTGCACAGCAGTCCGCGCTGTTCTACTGTATGGCTGTGAAACGTGGCCAGTGAAGGTGGAACATATGAGAAGTCTTCAGGTGTTTGAACACCGTTGCCTTCGTGGTATAAGCCGTATTCCGTGGTGTCACCACGTGAGTAACGCAGAAGTCAGGTGTAGAGTTTTAGGGAGTAACGGTAAACCAGTTGACGAGGCTAGGAACCTTCATCGACTGAGATGGTTGGGATACGTGTTACGTATGCCTAGTCACTGATTGCCTCGTCACACAATATTGGTTCAGGCTGGAAAAGGCCTGAGGTGGCCACACTAAAACATGGCACCAATGTATGAAGTCTTTGACTGTTGGTTTGAGTCATGTGGGGCAACGCAGACTAGCCGGTTGGGGTCCGCGGGACAAGAGGAATCAGTGGTTGGAGACTCTATGTGATATCGCTCAGGACCGATGTCAGTGGCGCAGGTGTATACACACATTATCCTTATCCTAACGACGCTATACCGAATCTCACTATTTTCTCATTCCTCCTTTCTCTCTTTTCGTGCGTTATACTTCTTTTGACTGAATTTTCTCTTCTTCATCTTGCACCTCACTGCCTTTTTACTTGATGTACTGATATGAGCTGTGGCAACTTGGACCGTTACACAGTAATGCCCAGTCCTATGTTGATTTGGATGGATGGATGGACCACTCGAGCTACACTTTAGGAATGGTTATTACGTTTACTTATTTTCGAAACCCAATGGCTTAACACAAATTGTCACGCAACATGTAGTTCAGTTAAATTTGCTCGGCAACCTTGCTTGATAGACTGTACAACAACACTTATCACATTAGTGAATGGATACATAAATGCTATTGAAAAAGTTAGTAATAACATGGAATTAGTTAATTTACTCCTGAAATCCTTGAACAGATATAAATCCCCTCCTGTGATTAGTTTGGAAAACTCAACCATACATAGGTTTGTGCACTAAGCTATGACCCAAACATTGTATAAGAGCCTGTGATACAACTCGGCTGTCAAGGTTTATGTGAGTTGAGCAGGGTTTGAACATTGAATCCAGTTGCTGAAAGTCGGGTATTCAAGTCAATGAACCACTTTCTCCTTAACTAACAAAAATTAGGTAAATTACCTCTTTTTCCTTATGATACAAGCCTTTTCATGGACCTCCATTTAAATGATCAGTAGTACATAAATTTGTTGAGTAAGTTCACTTGCCCCTTTTCCCTACCAAAGCAACTGATAATTATTTTTAAAAACCTATACTGAGATCAGACTTTCCGATTAATAAACAAAACTTGAAATAATGAGGAAAAGTTTATATTCAGAAGTTCAAAACAAAAACAGAATAATGCCTTTGACTACAGTAATATTTATGTTAAAGACGAACAGAAAAAACTGCTCCAGATTTGTGAGTGGTTGATGTTTGGCGCTTACCCGTACCATGAAGGGTGATGCGAAACCAGGTCAGGGGTATTTGATATCGATTTACTTCCACCGAGTTGCAGTCGCAAAAAGACTTAGCAATGGGATCAAAACTTCATGGAGGCGACGACTTACACCATTTTACAAACTGAGCTTTTACAACGTTTTTTCGGAACGATAGGGAGGTAGCATTGCTAAAGACGCTGATTATCGTTAGAAGGTTCTCTGTTACTGTTACACCCCAAAACAGAGAGCAGTATGACACCACCATACAAACTTTAAATTTGCTACTGTTTTCCTGTATGTGAAAAAATATATTTAACAAATCGTGCCGCAATAAAGTGCTTAGCTAAAATAGCTTGGATATATAATAATAACAGGGGAAAGCAAATATCATGGCAAGACATTAGCTGTAGTTGCAATAGGCGACTGAACAGAAATCAAACCCGAAAAACAGACCACTGAATCAAAATGGCTTTCCTTCCGTAAGTTTGTAAAACCTATGAAATTTGACTAACCTCTCTTAGATAAGTGACGCCCACTCCGATTCCCAAATGATAACCAGGCAGTAACAGAACAGGAAGCATATAAAATATAATCACACTAATTACAGCGATCACGGCGTTGTGCCAAACGCCAGCACAATATACACGGAGCTGAGAAAATGGTGAGAGATTTTGAAGATCTGCAGTGTTGAGGTCAACGAATGCACCTGGATAAAATCCAAATACGAAAATACCAAATCCATGAAGACGCACGCGTTCACGTACAGCTGCTATAGCATGCCCCGCTTCATGTATGAAGGCGCAAACAAGTAGTGTAAGAATATAAAACCCCAGATGACTGGTTGGTAAATTTATTCCGGCATCTACAAGAAAAACGTCATGTTTATAAATACAACTACACAAGGCGCAAAAACATACAGTGAAGTTACTGTAAAATATAATACCCTTTCTCAAAAAGAATATTCAACAAAAGTAGCACTGATCAAAACCGGAAGATTATTTCAAGTGGGAACATCCTGTTGTATCCATGACTAGCTGACCGAAAAGAAACACTACGAAGGCTCTAGTAAGCCTATCAACCCCTCTTGTTTGTGATAGCTTGATTAGGCTACTGACACTCTTCACGCGTTTGGTACACATAATTGGTAATTTAGTTATTATCACCTTTACTGTTATCTAATGCATATATCTGAATTAATTTAACCATGTTTATATCAAATGACTATGCTGAATAATTTGTAAATGTAAAGCCTGACGAGAATTTACCGAAAATACGTATCAGCTTCAAACTCTCCTAATTATCACAATGGGAATATTTAAATCATAAATATACGAAAACATCAGAAATATACTTTCCCGCTTGTATCTCACTATGAATACTTATTGAAAATAAGAAACCATGTGTAAGTTCGGGTAATAATAGGTTATGAGACGAAATTATTGTATAAGAACCGCTTTTTCTTACCTGACTACCATAAATCTCTGTAGGTGGAAAAGCTTTGAACCTATTGGTTGAGAGGCAGGTGCTTCAACGAATAAAGTGTAACTCACAAAAAGGTAATATATTCATCAACCAGTTATATGGTAGTGCACCATAGTACGTCATGTAAGTAAATGATGCTACTTTAAAAAACTGAAACCCAACAATCCAAAGGAATACACTACACCCTCGAATAAATTTCAGTTGCTCAGAATAACGCATTGTAACAATCAGGATGTGTTAGGTAACACTTGAGAAATAGCACGGCGCTTTCGTGTACGTTAATATACAAAGCTGTGAAGCTCATCTATTTGGAAAAATGGAAGTGATTCAGAAAATGATAATCAGATTTCAGAATAACCTACATTCGCTTTAGAACCCAAACAGTGATAAGAAAAATGAAAGCAGTCGGCGCTAAACAACACACCAACCGGCAAACAACTTCACATATGAAAATTTTCACTTAAAGTTGCACAAATAGCTAGTATTTTCACGTGTGCCACGTTGAAAATGATAACCATTACTAGGTGACAAGGGGATGATAATTATAGATAATTATATACATTTTAATACTTACCACAGGAGTCAAGACCTGGGTTTCAATAGGTTTTCGCATCAAAGTATTGTAAGCTAGAAGAGTAAGCAAACAAATGCTTACTATCATCGACACGGAGGAAAATATCACGCCACACGAAAACCAAAGATTCCAAGGGACGAAATTGAAGCGACATAAGTAGTGGAAAAATTTGTTCAACCTTTGGGTAAACAGACGTGCTTGTAGAAGATTGAATGAAATACCAAAATGAGAGGTGAACTTAGTATACCAATTCCTTGTATATGGATTTGTACGCAAAGCTATGTCGATCAAATAGATTGAAGCCCAAACTCCAAGAAAGTATGATACAAAACTTGTAACTGTCATTACGGACTTGAACAAAATTCAAAACTGCACACTGATTAGAAAAATGTACTAGAAAAAACCTTATGATCTCATTATGACCAGTGAACCTAGGCAGGAACACGATAATTCAGTTAGGAAGGTGCCAAAATCCATAAATTCACAATAGTCACTCTGTAAAAATTGAAAAGTAACTTGTATTAATGATAGCATAATCACATTTAAGTTTTCATTGGAGAAACATTCTGTTACAAAAGATGAAAGTTAGTGTAGCCTGATCGAACAGCTCCAGACTACAACAAAGGGTGAATATATTGCAAATGAAAATCACCAACTGCGTAAAATAAAACAAGCTCACTTTATTTCGATGACTTTCTTGATATGTTGACGACCTAAAATTAACGTACAATCGATGAAATTAGAACATAAGTTTTTGCTGAGTCGAAAAAAAACATGAAAACCTATGCAATTTGAGGAGATAGGAAGGAGAAATATTATGATATATTCGTTACAGGCGACAAAGAAAATAATGTCCAATTGTGAGTAACTGGGATGATTTGACGATTTTTGCAGCTGGCTTACAACAAAACTTACTACACAACAGCCGAAAATATACTGTAGAATAATGCGCAATATACATAAGATAAAATTTATCATAAATATATTTGTGATGGAAGTTTACACATTAGTTTTTAACTAGTGTCCTTAAGATTGCCTCTTTTCAGTGTCTTTACTTAAAAGAACTCCATAGTCTGTCACTGTTGAAAGTCATTGATTGACATACTATCACTCCAAGACTGTTTCGTTGATATGACGCTGTTTGCTGTCTGTGACTCGGATGAGCTGGAACAATTTATGGCTACTGTCGCGTACAGCTACTGCTTCTATTCCATTCGTGATTTCTGCTTACCGAATCTCGTAGTCCTTCCCTAAGTGCTATGATTTTTCACATACAGAACAAGGTCATACTACAATACTCGCTGTTTACCGAAATAGACCGACAAGAAGTTACAAAGAACTCAGGAAGAGAACATTCTTTGGAACAGAGAACTGCTTTGTCTATTTTATAGCATCCTACGGATGCAGGCAATACTGACCTATGCTTTCAAGAGGTTCGACAGCCAGTCTTCAATTTAGTTCAACTTGCTATTTTAGTAGCAAAAATGGATGCGATAAATTCACTTAACGACACACTTTTAGGACAACTTTGCTGAACACCAATGGGGAAGATGAACGTAATATACAGTTAGGAATTAGCGCAGTACGGACAGGTGGTTCAGAAGGAACAATAGTCTTTAATACCCTCAAGATATCAGTGGATAACTGCAACTTTATCTATTTGGGTTAGGTCTAAAAAGGTATGCAGCTTAGCTGCAGTAAGTTGGGTCAAGTGGTTTCTGGGAAAAAACACAGTAAATGGTTGTGAAAATAGCACACTTGATTGGTTGTTCTACTTTTTTCATTTTCACCTTTTTAGGAGCAAGACACCACTAGAAGCAGTGGGCTTCTAAACAGTGAGTCAAGTTCGAATAATGCTCTGCCACCAACCGGCAAAACAAGCAGTATTTTAAGTTGATAGGGCAGTACGTAAACCTGTGCTAAATTGAACTGAAACGCATTTTACTTTCAATAACACCAGGGTTGATTTATATCGGCTTAACCTTGAAAGGCCCTATGACTACGCTATGGAACTATCTAGTACGCAACCCTACACTTGCATGAATCCAGACACTCGGTTCAAATTTATGCAGAAATTTGGAGCAAACGAAGTGTTTTCAACAACTGGTTCAGTGTATAATGGAGTTACGGTTCACTGATCTATGCATTCGATTTTCAACTAACAGATAACCGTTTCGAACCCCGGTCTTTATACCTAAGCTTAGCAGCCAGGTGGTGTTATCATTAACCAGTACGCAACAGATATGAGTGACCGATAGCTGCTACCATGACAAGGTCATCGGGATTTCATATCACAATGACCCAACGAGCCATAGTGGCTGGAACGCTTGTTCCGACAGGGTTCTAGCACACCAAAAATGTCTGTTGAATGGTGGCTAGACGAAAACCAGTTACCGTTGTAGTGTAAATTGCTACAATATGATAGGAGTGAGAATGAGGCCACGCTACTGGTCTGACAGAAGTGTGACAGCAGTAGGGTTTCCCTTAAATGACCAGAAGTGCCACGCCGCCGTCTGCCCTACATGAAGGCGGAAGGTTAGAAAAGGTTGGCCGCAAATACGGTCCACTCCTTTCTGCTTTACGGTCTGCCGGTGTCACCAGTAAGGTGTTAGAATAATCAAACCTCATACCAATAATCCTAAAAAGACTGTGACAGCCCCCAGGCAGATGTCCAATAGGCTCTGCGGTCACAAGTTTTTTTTATAGGTACCTTAAGAAGAAATAGCCTGTCAAGGTATGGGCAGCCGGGAAGTATCAACCCCCTGCACGCTTTTAGTTGAACACAAAACCCAATCAAACAACCTATCCTCTTCAACTCTTTTTCTTCGTCTTCAACTCCTGATACCGATAGCAAGCCTCTCACAACTTCCGTAACCTCTCATCCGGTGACTGTTTCCAACGGTCAAGGTCATCGAAACCTCATTTCTAGTCTCGTAAGCCTCCGGCACCGATACCATACTGGGACTTTCAACATCCAAACTCAATGCGAACAGCAGCAGAAATTGCTCGCCAGAACTTTGGGATTTCAAGCCATGTATGTTTGTTATATCTCCGAGACACGTATACAGGACCCGTGTGGTTATCAAATTGACCTCAACTGACCATTGGAGTGAATCTTCAAGTCACCTTACGAGTGTCCGGAGATCCAATAATTAGCTCCAGTGGACTCATTGGTGTAGGCAAAACATTAATCTGCAGAACAGAATGTGCACTTTTCTACTGGATACTGGTAAACGGCCATTTACGTGCTGAATGTCCGACTGAAAAGATATGCAAAGACCAGGAAGAATGGTAAGACCAACTGATGTCGATTTGTAAACTTTGAATATGTACACATCAACTGCAGAGGATGAATTCTATGAGCTGTCAGTTTTGCTACAGAAATCAAAACCTTCAGGTGTACTTATAATTGCAGGTGATTTCTAGCTGTGACAATCCGAAAGGCATCTCGGGGGTATATACGGAATTCCACGCCAACGAACCGACAACGATGATGGTCTGTTGCAGTTTTGACCCGACAATCACTTGTTTTTGGATAACAATAGTTTTAAGCATGAGGAGAAACAGTCTCACATGTCGTCCGCAGACATCAAACCAATAATGGACACAGACAGTCCACATTGCCATAAGTCATTGTTGAAGATTGCTGCTCCTTGTGGAGAAAATGTGGCGGGGTATTAAGCCTGCTGTAGAAACAGCGGCAAAGACGGTAGGTAATCTACACCCAGAGGTTCGCAAACATCATTGGATTTCCGCAGCCATCCAAACTGATTTATGGGAGAAGACTGATTCCAGCTGGCTCTGACCACAATGAAGAGCGAAACCACCCCAGACGTAAATTAACGGAGAGTCTTCGCTGCGATCACAAGCAGTAGTGGCTGGCGAGATAGATGGGGAAAACGTCAGAACAAAGTAACCCCAAGCAACTATTTAGGGTTACTGTGGGGCTGTAGACCAGTGGTCTAGGGAGATGACTTTCAACCTCTGGGTTACGGGTTCGATTCCCGCTCCACACTAGCTGTATTTCTCGACCTGAAGGATGCATTCGACCCCGTTGACCGACAAGTCTTATGACAATGTCTCTCACTGAAAGACGTGCCGAGTAAGTACATCACCTCATTGAAGGCTCTCCTACTCGAACACTTTTGGGCGTGTTAGAGCCTATGGTGAGATGTCCAGAGAGCTATCCTCATCGAGTGGTGTCCGTCAAGGGTGCCCACTGTTTCCATTCTTATTCAATTTTACCATAGATATTCTCATGGAGGTCTCTCTCTCGTCACCTGATTACACAGACGTTGACCTAATCGCGGGAGAATTCTTGTTAAACCTAGAATATGCAGATGACATAGTCCTGTTAGGTGAAGACGCTGACAAAATGCAGTCTTCTGAACACTGAAAATGTTTGGGATGAGTTTCTCATTACCCAAATGCAAATTGTTGCTCCAGGATTGGTCTTCAACGGTGCCACGGCTAACAATAGAGAGTGTAGTGGTTGAGTGTGTCGACCACTTCCCTTACCTGGGAAGTAGAATGGTGGCTCAGTGGCCGATGAAATTTCTGTACGGATAAAAAAGGCTCGACTGGCTTTCACCAACTCACTCTACCTGTGGTGCCGCCGTGATATCCAATTGTCTACTAAGGGTCGTCCTATTTTTTAATTCAGAGGTGCTAGGATTAGTGTATATGATTCCTGACGATGACTACGAACTTATCCAGGTTCCCAACTACTTTCTTTCTGGATTAAGTGGAAGTACATAAATGCCTTTTCAGACCTGGCACTGAAAAGAGCTACTCCCCGCTGTTCATTCGCTGCTTTGACACTGAGAACTGCAAATCTACTTGAAACTAAACGGTAGGGGTCCAAAGAGTCAAAATCTGGGTTGTATTAGGTTTCAGGATGTACAACTTAATACTAAAGCATGCTGCAAAAGCGGACATTTTGCTAATAATTTTGAAAGTACATGCACAACGCCTTAGAACAAGCAAATAGCACGGTATACTGTGGGAAATACTTCTCTTTAACTCAAATGAGATTGTCGACAGGTCTATCTATAATAAGCGACAGCCCCTCAATAATTCGAAGCTTCGTAAAATGACTGCTTAGTTTTCCGCTACTTAATCGGCCGCTTCTAGATCCTTTGGTAGTTGCTCAAGGGTGGTATTTTATAGTTCCATTGCACTATTAAGTAATGGCTATGAATGTTACAAGCTTCGCTCTAGTACATAGTTGGCCTTTCAGGTCCTCGAGTCTGACATGTGGGTCGACAACGAACTGATACATAATGTAGTCTGAGGTCGCTCTATGAGACAGTGCTTGTGACAAAGAACTGCAATGTATGCAAAGCATTACCCAGTTCAGTACCTGAGTTCTTCAGAATAGCGCAATAAAACGAACTATATACCCAGACCAATCGCTTTAAAGTCTGTTATCCCTGGTTAAGGTGGAAATATGAAACATTCTGAAATAGAATCCAGAAGAGTCTATACAACTTTATTAAACCGGCGCTAAATGGAACTAAGGTGCTTTACTCACTCGCATGATTGAAAGAACGTAACGTACGGTCTGATCAAGGCGCCTAATCTACTCCATCACTAATCATCCAAAAACCTCAATTATACATACAGTTAGCTAATCGATCTGTTTTAACCCTTCAGGTAATGATTTCCACAAATTTTGGAGATTTCTCTGGTTTGCAACAACCAATGGAGATGATTTTACCTAGTCCAATATCCAATATCCAATATTGATAGTGCGAGCGTAGAAAACTAGTAGTTTTTGATCTCTCGCGTCTAGTTCTTAGGGCTTGGTTCCAGTTGTTCGGTTCACTCCTGCAGTGGACGAGGAAATCCCCTCTGCTTTCTTGCTTTTAGCTTCGGTGAGGTGGATGTTTTGTGGGTTAGTAGGTTGTAATTTGTAGAGTGATTAGGGAGCTACGGGCTGCTGGGAAGTTTAGAGAACAACCGTGACTCCTGTCTGTGTAGGTACCTGAAAGAGAATATTAAGGTAGTGGTAAAGGAATGAAGAGAGAAATAAGGAAGAGTAAAAAAATAAATAAATAAATAAATAAAATAATAAAAAAATAAAAATAAAATAAAAAAAAAAAAATAAAAAATAAATAAAATTAAAAATAAAAATAATAGTAATAATAATGTAGGGAAGAGGAAAGGGAAGGAGAATAAAAGAAGGGGTGAAGAGAGAAATGAGAACGAAAGAAAAGTATTTGGGAATTGCCCGAATGGTCGCGTGGGTTTGGTTCCTACAGAAGAATTAGTAGGTAATGTGGGTGTATTAAGGAGAGAGATAGTGAGTGGTAGTTAGGAGGGAGTTGAGGGGTACTGAGGTTGGTGACTACCTGAGTACGTCCGTGGTAGTCCATGCGAGGTGACATAACTGTCTAATCGCCTCTTGAAAGAGTCGATTGAAGGAGCTATAACGATGTGTCGCGGTAAGGCATTCCATAAAGCACATACTCTCAGGGAGAAAAATTTGGACCTGAGTGTGGTGTTGGCTCTCTGGTGTGCTATCTTAAAGGGGTTTCCTCGTGAAGATCGTTCAGTTGCAGGCAAAATTGATTTGTTTGCATGGTCTGCCTGATGGGCGATCTTGTATGCCATAATGAGGTCACCCCTTTTCCTGCGATAACCCAAGGTAAATAGGTTGAGGTGTTTAAGTCTTTCAATACGTCTTTCCCCTTAGCCCCACAACTGATTTTGTTGCAGTTCTTTGTATTCTTTCAAGGAGATTAGAGTCTCTCTTGAGTGTTGGAGGAGCCACCGTATTGAAGACCTCTAGGTGCGGCCGCACGTAGGATTTGAAAATGGTGAGGAAGAGTTCGGGAGTGAGGGCGCCAAGCTGTCTACGCAGAAAGTGTAGAATGGCGTTCGCTCTGGTTGTCATACCTTTGTAGTTGGAGCTGGTGTCCAAGGTGTCGGAGAAGTTGAGCCCCAAATCTTTCTCCATGGACACTCTGGTGATAGCACGGTTGCTCAACATGTACTGGAAGTCGGTCGTACTTGCCTCATTTTTACTGATGTGCATTACTTTGCACTTTTCCAGTTGAAGCTCAGACCATTTTCCGACGACCAGAGCTCGAGTTGCTGCAAGTCCTTTTGTAGTGCTGCACAGTCGGCTTCTTCGTTTACCACCCTCCAAATTTTTATGTCGTCAGCGAAGAGGAGGATGGGTGAGGATATTTTGTCTGGCAGATCGTTGACAAAGAGGAGGAACAGAAGCGGTCCTAGGATTGCTCCTTGGGATACTCCTGACGTCGACGGTCTCCACTCCGACCTTATTCTGTTCACTTTAGTGCAGAACTGCCTCCCTTCCAGGTACTCCTTGAACCAAGAGAGTAGGGGTCCACTTATACCAGCTGACATGATCTTGTGAAGCAGTACTGTGGGTGGGACACTGTCAAATGCTTTGGCTAGGTCGAGAAATACAACATGTACAGGTTTTCTATTATCCCAGCTTTGTGTCCAGTCGTCCCAGGCAGTTAGTAAGTTGGTGGCACATGAGCGACCACTACGAAAGCCGTGCTGAGCAGTGTGGACAGTGTTTTCTCTATTGAGGAATTCCCAGATGGTGTCAGCTACCAGGCTTTCCAACACTTTCGACACAATAGGGAGTAGGGCAATCGGCCTGTAGCTGCCAGGGTTTTTTCTGTCTCCTCCCTTGAAGATGGGTGACAAGATGGCACTCTTCCATTCTTTAGGGAGTTTGCACGAGTCTATTGAGTGCTCAACTGGGAGTTGCAGCAGTTAACATTTAAGAAGCGCAAATTAACGCTTCACTTTTCTGACCAATATTTCTAAAGTTTGGCCCAAAGGCCTCACATAAAATGAGTCAGAGGAAAGAAGAAACTTCCTTCAAGGTAATCAGTTAGGATACAGTGGTGCGATATTAATAAACTTTCATGTGTCCAATATCACAAGGAAACAGATTCATGTAGTGCAGACCGGATATGAACTTAGTAACACCCACCTGAGTGCACTTCAGCTTTTTTTGGATCGAGTCCTGACAGCAGTACTGAAAGTCGGGTGAACTTATCGCTGGTACTCAGTATGAATCTTAATTGAAGGTATACAGTCAAAAGTTGTGATCCCAAGCCACTGTTCGTTCTGCTCTTACTGTAGGGATGTTAGCTAAATAACGACTACATACAGGGAAGTTCCGACATAATGGTTTGGAAGGGCTATGGTTTTCAACTTAACCAAACAGTCTATATCTAATGTTAGAGAATATTGCAGCAAATAAACTGGTAAAACTTAGGGATCAACGGTTAAGTGGTTTTCAGTGGTCATTTGATCTATACAGTCAAGTCGACCTGGTATCTTCTCACTCCCCATGGCACCAAAGTTGAGGTAGGGGTACACCAGGTAGCTCGGCATACGATTTGTCAACAACGTCCGCTTTGTCAGCCCTCGTGTTGACTATCAGAAACCGGAGATTTCCCAAAATATGCCTTATTTGTGGTGCTCACTGCATCCATATGTAAATCGATTCTGGTATGTCTGATAGGCATTTAACCTTTGTTTATACTGAAAAGATTTCGCTGATGTAGTAGGAGAGCCAGTTAGCTATGAACGGTTAAGATCTTATCAACTCCACCGAATCTTCACCTGAAAGAATAGATGGAACTCCGTACACATTTGTCTCGCATGCAAGAAATAATCATCTAGGGCAGCTCTGAAAGGTGTGTACAAACTTTCCGCAGATACCTCACGGGCCCCTGTTATCGCTGAATCACACCTGCTCCCAAACTGGTATTATGCAGCTTCCTGTGACTGAATATATGATTCTGAAACTAACATTTCCAGTCTTTTGACTTCCCCTGGAAATCTTAGGGGGCAGTTGTCAACCACTGGGGTGAATAGGGCGTCCAGCTGGGGTAGGTCGAGGAATAAAATATATCACTTCTTTAAATGTTGCTTTGAACTCCTGTTTAGAGACCTCATCAAGTACATCCTCAGTTATGTGTGATGGTACAGCTTGTGATAAGCAACACTGCCATGCACCATATGGTCAGTTTCACAGGCGCAGAACCGTAATGCAATTAGTACTTTCGCAGCTTAAATAATAGTATGAGGTGATTGCAATTTCTAAGGAAGAAGAATTTAGATTCCGGTAACCTCCACTGTTGACTCATGGGAACTTAGTCTAAACGGACTGTCTGCACTCTGTATCAAAAGACACTACAGTGGTGACATTTTCCGGTGTCTTGGCATTTCTTCGAAGCCAAGGCTATAAGCTCAGTCTGACTGCTGTTTGAAGTATTGAACTCGTCTACTTTGAAGCATCTGTTTTAATATCCAACTCACGTGCAAGATATACGCGCAGTCAGCAGCTTAGGGCGATGAGCTCCAATAGACGGCTACAAATTTTGCTATTGCCTAGCTTGACATTCGCGAGGCCTTTGTCTCTGTTGTCCTTGAGTGCGTCCACTATTTGCTACGCATTTGGTAAACTGCTTTTTCCTTTCTTCAGTCTTATTATTCAGCGTGTAGGTAGAATAGTGGATGCCCTCAATAAAATGCATGAAATGCCCGACATTATCAAATTCAGGCCACGGGTGTCAAATCTTCAGCGGTTGCGTCTACTAAAATATTTAGGATTAAGCATATGATGTCCAACGTTTCCAGATTGCTCAGTGATTCATGAAACATTATCCTTGCCTACATCAGTTCAAATAGCAGTAGTGCTCATTGTGAGAACGAAGCATGCACGAACAAATTTACTGTGTACCTCACCTGACGGATAGACATTAGAGATAGAGCTTTTCAAAATGCAGTCATCATAAGTAGTAATTTTCTCAAGTGAAGCGTACGTTTTGCGTCTAGATAGAAATTACGAGAAAATACCTATTGCCTTTTATTGATAGCACGTGAAGTCTTCTCAAAATGATTTGTTTGATACGGATGTTCAAAGGTTTCTTTAAATATTCAGCCCGGCATCACATTATGGCCTGCAGACATAGCAGTACATTCCTGAGACTTATTAGATGCTTTGTCTGACTTGCCACCGATCTGTGGTTGCTTCTTCAACAACTTCCATTTCCATCCAGTACAGCGGTCTTATTCTTTGAATCTTGGTCAAAATGTATCTTAGCGTCTTCTGACACCATTTTGAAGTACGATGGCTGTGTAGCCACCAGCTGTTGATGCGTTTTCGTCTGGCCCGTAGTTGGGCACGTTGTTGCAAGGGGGAGCGTAGGGCAGAGCAAGTTTGATGGTGACCACGAGAATCTGGAAGTGAAAAGAGGGACGGAAAAAAGGAGAGCCGACAACTCAGAGAGTATAGAGAATATTCTCACATTTAACAATAAAAGATAGCTGACGGTTAGTAGAACTTGACAACGTGGAGGTGAGGCAGTCCAGAAATCGAAACTGGAGGGTGAACTGGTAGGACTTCGAGTGCACTAAAGCTGCTTCAAACTGATATTTGTAATGCTTTCCCTCATGGTTCTCTATCATATTACTAAATTGTCATGTACAGTAGTAACCCTTGATCACTTAATATATTTCATCAGCTTTCTTCTCATTTTAACCCGCAGGACCAGGCCGAAATTTTTAGGGGGTATTCAGAACGTTTCCGGTGTTCGTTAAACTTGTGCAAAAACGTGGTGATGTAGTAGTCCAAAACATTCCGAAAATTGCCCCCTAAAACTATCTGCTCACATCTCGAAGCTCCAAATCCTCCAGCTGCTCAATGTTACTGCACACAAATCCGAAAATCTGGCGCATATTCTATCTGTCCCGTTCTTGTTGACTTCAGTTCGTCAGCTGTGGCAGACAAATTCATGATTTCCGTGCCAAGGATCAAGACTGTTCCCGGATTCAAGCATGCACACACTACCTCTGGTGTAACATCTGTACGCGGACGCAAGTGGCCGGCCTTGCAGACCGCATGCGGTGCTCGCTCACCTCGTATGACTCCGACACAACCCTAACTCTGGTGGTCATATTTCATCAGACCTATCCATCGACATGGCAGGTATATTCACCATCTCTTTTCCCTCTCATAATAGCATCTTTCCCGACTAATACGGAAATGTGAATCTTGACAGTCCAGGAAAACTCTGTGATTCTGAAACATCGTAGAAACTTTTGCCTACCTCCAGAACTACCGTAAGAGGTGCTGACGGGATCGCTGTTATAACGAACTCGCCTGGAAGCCATAAAGCGTCTACCTCTCACGAACGTCCTACCAGCAGAATGCCCAATATCTATAATTCCGCGCCAATCCTTAACACCCCAGCTGGCAAACGTCAGAATCGGGTCGTCTCAACTTGCTGCAGTAAGGTGCGCGCTAAGTAATTCTGATGCCTGCTTTCGGGTAGATGGCTACTTCCTGCCTCTGAACAGTGGAGAAAGCGAACGTGTTGGTGGAGGTCCCATTTGTGTTCACTCACATAGCGCAGCTCCGGTGGGTTACTCACTTACCCCTCCACGATACAAAGGACCCTTTCTGGGTTCAACTCTACACGCCAAACAAATCCGTCTTCCTTCGGTATATATACTGCCCACTCTAGGTGGACAAGTGTTTGATCAGTAAATACGCAAGGCTATCGGAACTACCCTCAACATTGCATATGACGACAAAGTTACCTGTGGAGACTCTAACGTGCCAAATGTTCAGTGGGGTCACACTTATGGCCCTGAGTAATATGGTGAAGGTTCCGAGGTCCTAGATGCTATGGGTTGGGTTAAGCACGTTACGTCTCCAGCGGGCAACCATATAATGATGGACTTCATATTTTGCGATAGAATCGAACCGTTTGATATTCAGGTGAGCTGCAGGTTCTACAGACTTGATCATAAGCTCGTGATATGTCGTTTCACCGGTTTTAACGGCCTTGCAACAGTATGCGTCTCACGAAGTCTACCACATGTAGAGACTTCTCACATACTAGCCGTAAACGCCAGTTTTTCCCGCGCTGCGCAGAATGAGATAACCACTCTTCTTGCGATGACCTAGAACTGCTAATCAGCCCATCGTGTAGAAGTACTGGCATCTGCCTTGACGGAATCGTTCCTCCCCGAGAGGTCAGACATAGGGCGAACTGTTCGTAATACTTGCTCTTGAAAATGAGGAGTAAAACCAGGAAAACTCAATGAGGCTTTGTAAACCACCGAGACATTTCTTCGCTTTGCATTGGGGACAGTTATTGATATTGGTCAGAGAATATTTGTTCAGCGAAAGTTGGCTCATGAAGAGGTGCTCACTTTCAATTTCTTCAATACTGTCGAGGGTTCACTCAATTGGTCAATAAACGCACCATACGCTCAGGTACCTCTGAAATTACCTACAGTGTGACTGATGAATTCATAAGCGTTACTTTCAAAATTTTTGATCTATTGAGAGAGTATATTTTCCGCGCCCATGTCACCCCTGCAATGCCTTTATTCAGCATGCACCCTGTCACTCGTGCTCACTTCGTGCTCCGTAAATTTCGCTGTTCCAGTCGTTTGCAGGGTGACAAGTAGCTCTAAACTATCATGCACTTGCGTTACTGATGACAGACCTTCTGTATTAATCAAGCATAGCAGACTTAGCATCGGTTTTCTACCTTTCGAAGTAGTTGCCTCCACTGTCCGTATTTCTCACCACCTTGAATCCTGGAAAGCTACATTCATCTTTACCAGACATAAGTCAGGTTCCAGTCATTTCTTGACCACTTACCGTCCTAGTCACACCGTCAGCAACGGGGTTTCAGATCCCCAGTTTGCTACTCGTCAGTCGGTATCAATACGGTTTTCTAATATTCCGCTTAATTATTTCTTATCTCAATTTTTTAACCGAGCAACTTCCGATTGCGACTGTAGGTTGGCTGTGTTGGTCCTATGCAGTGATATCAACAAAGATTTTAACGAAGTTCCCCACCCCCTCCTGTCAGAATGGCTTCGCGCTCCTGATACCCGAAGCCCGCTAAAAGGGAGGTTTCAATCTTTTGTGACTAGTCGGTCTCAGTAGGAGGTTAAATCTGGCACTTCATCTTTTGAAAGCATTCACGGCGGCGTCTTTGGAGCCTTACTCTTTCTGACCCAAATCAATGACATCTACATGCCTTAGACATGAAAAGTCATTTTTATTTGCAAGTGACCTTTGGGTAACTTACGGCCTTCTGAGAAGGTCCTCCGCATGGTAGATACCTTTGATATTAAGTCGCCTTTATAGCTTAGAAATGTGATGTAAACATTGGCAAATAGAGGCGAGTTATAATTTGGCGGAAATCTGAAAGGCATAGCCGCCATGTTTAATGGGGTTGGAATATCTCATTAGTAGTGGCTACAAGAACTAAGGTTTCACCAATTCAGTAACCTCATTTTCATAAGGCACATTTCCCACCAGGTCCCTATGGCTTATAAACTAACCGGGAACTTTGTTAGAAGTCTCATTCGTGTAGACAGTAGACTGGTGACTCACAAGACCCGAGTCCTGCCCTTACTCGAATATTCTCCTTTCATTTTAGGTAGTTTGGAAGTACGAGAACGACTTAAGATTGAAAACGTCCAGCGACTCCGTACCAAGCACGTGGTTAGTAATATATTGTTCAAACATTCGATAACTTTTACAGGCTTCATTCCCTGAAAGAGCGATTGCTTTGAAGTCGTGCAACACCAGAGAGTTATTTTTCCCCTCATTGGGACCTTGACAAATATATTTCATTTATGTGCCATGTATACGGTTTATGACCTCTTCCCTTTCGAAATTTGATCGAAATATTTCGATGATGAATTTTCTGGGATGACAAATCTTTGGTTCACCTGAGCTTGATATTTTGTTTACACCGTAAAACATCCCTATTCCATTGCGCACCGAATCAGTTATCTCAAATCATCAGTGTTATACCGGAATGAAAATTCTAGCGGTATAGTCACATAATCGGGCCTATTAATCAGTGTGTGCCTGTGTTTGCGGGAATAAATCACTATTTATCAGTAGTACCTTCGGCCTACACTGCAAGTTAGCCTTTGGTCTATTGTCTTCTCAACCGCTTCTTTATTGTGGGGCCGAAAGTGCCTTGCGATAAAAATATAGAAGTCGTGGACAGAATGGGTTATAGTGAGGTGCCAAGGATACAACCACTGCACACCTTGTAGAGGCAGGAGCTGTACTGATTTCACCACCTGTTTAAGTCATCGCAGGAGTGGAGGGCGGGTCAGCCGCTCGCTTGCCTAGTGTCACCATAAAACCCGGGTACTGTGGTAAAATATTTCTTTAATCTGGGTCGGTTCACTCGATACAGTGAAAAATAATAAAGTATAACCAACTGGATGGTGTTATAAGTGGCATTTGTTACAAACAGTCATATCAAGTGATTATGATTACTATGCAGTGCCTTGTAAACTTGGTTATAATTTCTATCTATTGTAAACTTTATATTCACTGCTGACTGCAATTGAATGATGACCAACTTTTAATGTACTGGTTTGATTTTGCCCACTCAACTCGCCCACTAGAGTGCCTGGAATAAACGCGTTGTACTTCTACTACTGCCCTCTTATTTACTACATTGTGGTTGTCTAAAGCAAATCGTTCATAGCGTTAGCCATAAGCTTCTGGGTCCAACAACTACAAGCGATTATTTACATTTGAAGTGTCATTCAGTGAATAGTGTTCCAACACTGTGCAGTACCATACAAAATGTTCAGAAAGGTGACGAAGGCAGGAACTTCTGAATTCAACATATCATAATCGTCACCGATTGAATTTGGGTTCCAACTACGGAATTTACATCCAAGGTGTGGGAAACCTCTATTTTTCGCAGCAGGATATGCGTACTAATTTTAGCTCAAAGCCTTAGGTTTCATGGGTGCTCCGTATCATAATCGA